CTGAGCCGAAGGCAGACACTTAACTGACTGAGCCCCCCCAGGCGCCCCTGACGGAAGGTCTTGCATGATCTCACTGTGGATACTTCTCCAGCCTCAGCTCTGGCACACTCCTCTTCCCCCTCCATGCTCCAGTTGCAGTGAAATGCTCTCAGACTTGCTAGTGCTCCCTCTTCTTTTTCACTTCCAGAGCTTTTCAACACGCCTTCTGCTCAACCATAAGACATCACTCCTCCAGGAACTGCTTTCTCATTCCCCAGGTCCAGATTAGGGGCCCCTTAGCTCCCTGTCCAATTCCTATCATACGTATGACACTGTATTGTCACTGCCTGTGGATTTGTCTCCACCCTCCCACCGGCCTGTATGTGCCACAACGACAGAGACCAGGTGTGTCAGGCTCACCATTTCAACCCTAGGATTTAACACAATGCAGGTACTCGGTGAATGTTGGCCAAATGAAATAATTGTAAGGCTATATACATTCCCCAATACAATGGTGTGATGATAAGAATAAGCAGACAGGGGCGCCTGGGTGGCTCAGTCAGTTGGGCATCTGCCTTTGGCTCAGGTCATGATCCCAGGGTCCTGGGATCGAGTCCCGCATCGGGCTCCCTGCTCAGCGGGAAGTCTGCTTCTCCCTCTGCCTGCCACTCCCCCTGCTCATTCTCTCTCTCTCTGACAAATAAATAAATAAAATCTTTATTAAAAAAAAAGAATAAGTAGACAAATTGATGGAACTGGAAAGACAGCTCAGGAGACTGTTACATGGATAAAAATTTAGTAAGTGATAAAGTATGCATCATACATCCAAAGAGGAAAGGAGTATTTATTTGATAAGCGGTACTACCACAGCTGGTTATTAGTTTAGAAAAAGATAAGATTTAGAGATGAGTCCAATACAATACCCCCAAAAAAGTTTGCTAAGGAATTAAAGAATTAAATATTTTTAAAAACTGGAAGAAAATGGATGTGAATATTTACAGAAGAAATACTCGTAGGGAATACTTAATAGAGAATATTGTAGAGAAAAGACATTTCTAAGGTAGGGTATGATCACAGATTTGACCACATAAAAGCTTTAAAAGCACAAAGTACATTACATCCTGGGAAATGATTCTAGTAAATATAACAAAATAAATAAAAATATATTACATATTAAATATATGTAAAAGGAAAGGAAAAGAGAAAAGCTTAGTATCTTGAAAGAATGAGAACAATTCTAAACACAATAGGTAAATGCACACACGGAAAATGAACAGACCATTTGCAGAAGTGAAATATAAAGAGCTAAATAAAAATATTTTTAATTTTACCAGTAGTCACAAACTGAAATATTAAAAAAATAAAATACTGATTTTTTTTCTGTCCAAGTGATCAAGAATTTTTTTTTTTAAGTTGGAGTCTGGACATGGTGAATGAGTATCCTCACACCTTGTTGAGTACCAATATTAATTGGTAGAGTTCTTTTGAAGGTTTTTGGCTCTGTGTACATCAATACCAAATGGTCATATACATTAATACAGAAGTAATTCTACTTCTGTGAATCTAGCTAGGGTAAGGAAAAATTTTAGATACAGATAGAGCTTTAAAGGTTTTCTTTTGAGAGAGAGAGAGAGTGCGTGTGCACGAGAGTGGTGGGAGGAGCAGAGGGGAAGAGAGAGAGAGAGACAAACTCCAGCAGACTCCATGCTCAGTGCAGAGCCTGACTTGGGGCTCGATCCCGTAATCCTGACACCTTGACCTGAGCTGAAATCAACAGTTGAATGCCCAATTGACTGAGGCACCCAGGCACCCCCAGATAGAACTTTAAAAGTTGGTCATCAGAGTGTTTAGTTCAGCAAGAATTAGAAGTAGTCTAAACGTCCAGCCGAAGAATAACTAAATGGTGACTTATCTAATTGATAGAATAATACATAGCTATTAAATATGAGTATGAGCCACAGCTGGGAAAAAAGATCTTCACAAGATTATATCTGACAAAAGACTTCTAGCCAGAACACATAAAGAATTCCTACCAAAAAAAAAAGACAGCCTACTTAAAAAAAAAAAAGGCACTTTAAAAGGATAACAAGATGAGTAAACATTTAGAAAGTCCACAATATCATTGCACATTAGGGAAATGGCAAGCTAATGGCAAGGTAGCATTAGGCATTCCCCAGAGTAGCTAAAATTAAAAACCAAATGTTGGTAAGGAGATGAAGCAGGTGAACCATTACCTATTGCTAGGGAGAGCCTACATTAATTCCTTCACTTTGGGACACTCAGTATCTCCCAGGCTGAGTACACACCTGTCCTGTGACTCAGACCTTGTACTGCAACGTATACACTGAGGGGGGAGATGAGTTCACATGTACATCAGAAGACATAAACAAGGTTGTTCCATGCAGCTTTAATCAAAGTAGCCCCAAACTGGAAACAACCCAAACATTCATAAACAGGAGACTGCAATGGGACACCTGGGTGGCTCAGTCAATTAAGCATCTGCCTTGAGCTCAGGTCGTGATCCCAGGGTGCTGGGATCGAGCCCCACATCGGGCTCTCTGCTCAGCAGGAAGTCTGCTTCTCCCTCTCCCTCCGCTTGTGCATGCGCACATGCGCGCTCTCTCTTTGTCTCAAATAAATAAAATCTTTAAAAAAATAAACAGGAGAATGCATTAATACATTGTGGCATATTCCTATATGGAATGTTGTGTAGCAGTAACAAAAGAACAAACGAGGGACCCATACAACAACATGAATGAATCTCACTGACATCATGGTGAATAAAAGAAGAGAGACCAAAGGAGCACATAGGAAATGATTCCATTTACGCAATGCAAGAACAGGCAACTTAATTGATAGTGACAGGCGTCAGAATAGTGGTTACCCCTGGGTGGGGAACTGACTGCAAACACGCCTGAGGAAGCCCTCTGGTGTGATGAAAATTTCCTATTTGCTAATCTGTATGGGGTTACAGAGGTCTATACATATGTCCAAATTCAGCAAACTTTACAGTTCGTATGACCTAACCCTTTATATTTCTCATTAATAAAAAAAAATTGGGAAAAAATGACATGTGGCCTTGGACAAGTCACTTCATTTTCCTAAGCTTCAATACTCACATATGTAAATTATGATAATACCTACCTTGCCGGTTTATTAGAATAGCACATGGTGAATGTGTAATAAATGGCAGTTTATTTTCAACTAGAAATATTTTTAAATGCTTATGATATGTGAAAAACGTATCAATTGAATAATATGGTTGAAGAAGTAGAAAACAAAACTCCCTTATGCATTAAAAAATTAATTCACAAAATATAGTCAGTGGATTAGATGTCTTTAGTTGGTGGGATTTGTTTTTTCTTCCTGTTTTTAGTTTACAGAAAGTTTTAATGCGCATTGCTTTTAGAATGAAACCTATTAATTTTCAAACATTAAAAAAATTTCAGTCAAGGGGCGCCTGGCTGGTCCAATCAGTAGAGCATGTGACTCTTGATCTCAGGGTCATGAGTTTGAGCCCCAAGTAGGGGGTAGAATAAACAGAATTTCAGTCAATAGTAAGCTCAATATGAAGCAACAATTAGTGTGAATCTCTCTATATTGATTTTTTTAGATTGAATTAACTGAAGAGGAGTAACTGTAACAAAGGAGTGATTTTAGTTTTATGTGCCACCATGTAAATAACCTAGATGTTCAGAAAAAACATGGCAAGGACAGTATATGAAAGAAGACAGAAAGAACTGGTCATGGTTCTCTCAGAGAAGAAATACCGAGAAGGATCTGATGGCTGTTTTCAAATTAGAAAGGCATTCATGTGACAAAGAGTTTGTTGTGTTCTCTGTGGTCTCAAGCAGAACCAGTATCAGCAGGTAGAAGCCATTCCAGGGAACCGATTTCTGGGCTGTATAAGAAAACCCTTTGTGGCAAATGCTATTCATTCACGTATTCAAGACATTGATGGAGAGCTTTTTTGTTGTAGGTGCTCCACTAAGCATAGAGTTCAAAGAGTAAGACATGGTCCCTTCAGTGAGTGTGTACAGTGACAAAGGAACCTGTGCAAACAATAACAATGTTTTCAATGCTACGGTAGAAGTATGAACAGAATGTTATGAGAGCAAAGAGGAGGCAGCATTCTCTTCTGCAGGGAATTGGAGGAGGTAACATTTCAGTCGAGTATTAAACAATGGATTAATCAATGTTTGCCAAGCATCCATGCAGGGAATGGTATCTGGGGCAGAAAACCAGGGCTGTGTTTGATGAGCCTGTCAAGATATGTCTGGGACTAGATTGTTTAGGACCTTGTTTTGTGGGCAACGGGAAGCTCTTAAAGACATTTAGGAAAGGGAAGAGTGTGTGTTTGGAGGGCGGTAACTCCAGCCACGCTGGGTAAGTCCACCTGGATGGGGGAGAGACTGGTGGCAAGATGGTAGTTGGGGGAGCATCCTATCCTCGGGGGGGCAGATGATGACGGCCAAGGAGTTGAGTGTTAGTGGAGTGAGGGTTTGACCGCATAGCATGCATTCCTGAGGGAGACCTAAAAGGTCTTGATGACAGATTGTTCATTGGTTCAGGAGGTCAAGGAGAAGAAAAAACTGAGGATGATTCACAGGTTGCTAGCTTGTGAAAATGGGGACCTGTTGATCCTGACCTTACCCACAGGCACCTTTTGATCATGGTTGTGGGGACAGGGGAGTGGACACTTTCACCTGACTGTCAGCTCCTTGAGGGCAGGTACCATATCCGTTTGCTCACTTCTGTCTTCCCAGTGATGGACAATGAATGCACGAATGAATGAACAATTTGCCATTTCTCCCAATGTGGCCTCCTAATTTGGTGGCAATTCTTGGACTTATGTCTTTTGTACTTAATTAATATTGCCCAGGTTAAAAATGATATCAAATATTAAATTTTGGAAACGTGGATTCATTGGCTCATTGAACAAACACTATATGCCAGGCACCATTCTTTTTTTTTTTTAATTTTTTTATTGTTATGTTAATCCCCATACATTACATCATTAGTTTTTTTTTTTTTTTCCTAGGCAAAGAACTTTATTAACCTTGTTTCAAACTTTATTCCCAGGCTTCTTCAGCTTAACTAGCTGCAAGAATGAATTGTGTATAAGCAAAAACTGAAAAGAGCTGCAGTGTCCAAGGGGCTTGGGCTTAAAAATATTAGAGATCTAGATTTTATCAGATTCACGAACAAAATTTTAAAAAGCAGTCATAATATAAAATAGCAGCTCCCAGTAATTTCTTCAAGTTTTATGTTCTTCAGAAGTTGACTCAATTCAGTTTGCTTCATTCTTGGAAGCTTCATCAAAATTCTCCACAAGATCTGGAACTTCATCATCATCATCCTCTCTGGTAGCAAGTGGTGCTTTTCCATCCACAGATTGTTTGGGCAGAGCTTCAGCCAGTCTTCTTAAACTAGTCAGACTGTCTGCACCAAGTTGGTTTAAGATACTGGGTAGCATTTCTGTCAGCTGCTTTGTCTCAGCATGGCCTGTAATGGTGAAAGTGTTCGCTGTCAGTGATGCCTGAACTTTGGGGTTGTTAAAGTGGATCACTGTTCCTTGGTTTGTGAACATATTCACTTCTTCAATACCAGAGATATTGTTTACCCCTAACTTCTTTAAGGAGAACTGAAATTTTTTATCATCTGCTGTAGCCGTTCTATGAACCACCTTCTTCTTTCGGCGAGCAGTTCCTTTCCCACCAATGCGCACTTGTGCTTGCAGTTTGGCGAGTTTCTCCTGGTTCATGATAGTTTCTTTCATCTTGTTGGAGCGGAAATGGGACCGCGCGGGGGAATAGGGTTGGCGCTCAGGGGGTCTCGGGCGGACCAGCTGAGATTAGGAGCACACACGTGGGGACGCAAGATGGCAGCTAGAGGGAGTACATCATTAGTTTTAGATGTAGTGTTCCATGATTCATTGTTTGTGCATAACACCCAGTACTCCATGCCGAACGTGCCCTGCTCAATACCCATCACCAGGCTAACCCATCCTCCCACCCCCCTCCCCTCTAGAACCTTCAGTTTGTTTTTCAGAGTCCATCGTCTCTCATGGTTCGTCTACCCCTCCGATTCCCCCCCTTCATTCTTCCCCTCCTGCTACTTTCGTCTTCTTTTTTTTTTTTCTTAACATATATTGTATTATTTGTTTCAGAGGTACAGATCTGAGATTCAACAGTCTTGCACAATTCACAGCGCTTACCAGAGCATATACCCTCCCCAGTGTCTATCACCCAGTCACCCCATCCCTCCCACCCCACCCCCCACTCCAGCAACCCTCAGTTTGTTTCCTGAGATTAAGAATTCCTCATATCGGATGCCTGGGTGGCTCAGTTGGTTAAGCGACTGCTTTCAGCTCAGGTCATGATCCTGGAGTCCCATGATTGAGTCCCACATCGGGCTCCCTGCTCAACAGGGAGTCTGCTTCTCCCTCTCCCGCTTCCCCCCTCTTGTGCTCTCTCTCTCTCTCTCTCTCTCTCACTCTCTCTCTCTCAAATAAATAAATAAAATCTTAAAAAAATAAATAAATAAATAAAAGAATTCCTCATATCAGTGAGGTCATATGATACATGTCTTTCTCTGTTTGACTTATTTTGCTCAGCATAATACCCTCCAGTTCCATCCACGTCGTTGCAAATGGCAAGATCTCATTCCTTTTGATGGCTGCATAATATTCTATTGTATATATACACCACCTCTTCCTTATCCATTCATCTGTCGATGGACATCTTGGCTCTTTCCACAGTTTGGCTATTGTGGACATTGCTGCTATGAACATCGGGGTGCACATACCCTTTCGGATCCCTACTCCTGTATCTTTGGGGTAAATACCCAGTAGTGCAATTGCTGGGTCATAGGGTAGCTCTATTTTCAACTTTTTGAGGAACCTCCATACTGTTTTCCAGAGTGGCTGCACCAGCTTGCATTCCCACCAACAGTGTAGGAGGGTTCCCCTTTCTCCGCATCCCCGCCAACATCTGTCGTTTCCTGACTTGTTAATTTTAGCCATTCTGACTGGTGTGAGGTGGTATCTCATTGAGGTTTTGATTTGGATTTCCCTGATGCCGAGCGATATTGAGCACTTTTTCATGTGTCTGTTGGCCATTTGGATGTCTTCTTTGGAAAAATGTCTGTTCATGTCTTCTGCCCATTTCTTGATTGGATTTGTTGTTCTTTGGGTGTTGAGTTTGATGAGTTCTTTATAGATTTTGGATACCAGCCCTTTATCTGATATGTCATTTGCAAATATCTTCACCCATTCTGTCGGTTCTCTTTTGGTTTTGTTGACTGTTTCCTTTGCTTTGCAAAAGCTTTTTATCTTGATGAAGTCCCAATAGTTCATTTTTGCCCTTGCTTCCCTTGCCTTTGGCGATGTTTCTAGGAAGAAGTTGCTGCGGCTGAGGTCGAAGAGGTTGCTGCCTGTGTTCTCCTTTAGGATTTTGATGGACTCCTGTCTCACATTGAGATCTTTCAACCATTTGGAGTCTGTTTTTCTGTGTGGTGTAAGGAAATGGTCCAGTTTCATTCTTCTGCATGTGGCTGTCCAATTTTCCCAACGCCATTTGTTGAAGAGACTGTCTTTTTTCCATTGGCCATTCTTTCCTGCTTTGTCAAAGATGAGTTGACCATAGAGTTGAGGGTCCATTTCTGGGCTCTCTATTCTGTTCCATTGATCTGTGTGCCTGTTTTTGTGCCAGTACCATACTGTCTTGATGATGACAGCTTTGTAATAGAGCTGGAAGTCCGGAATTGTGATGCCGCCAGCTTTGCTTTTCTTTTTCAGCATTCCTCTGGTCTTTTCTGGTTCCATACAAATTTTAGGATTATTTGTTCCATTTCTTTGAAAAAAGTAGATGGTATTTTGATGGGGATTGCATTAAATGTGTAGATTGCTCTAGGTAGCATTGACATCTTCACAATATTTGTTCTTCCAATCCATGAGCATGGAACGTTTTTCCATTTCTTTGTGTCTTCCTCAGTTTCTTTCATGAGTATTTTATAGTTTTCTGAGTACAGATGCTTTGCCTCTTTGGTTAGATTTATGCCTAGGTATCTTATGGTTTTGGGTACAATTGTAAATGGGATCGACTCCTTAATTTCTCTTTCTTCTGTCTTGTTGTTGGTGTATAGGAATGCCACTGATTTCTGTGCATTGATTTTCTATCCTGCCACTTTACTGAATTCCTGTATGAGTTCTAGCAGTTTTGGGGTGGAGTCTTTGGGGTTTTCCACATAAAGTATCATATCATCTGCAAAGAGTGAGAGTTTGACTTCTTCTTTGCCCATTTGGATGCCTTTGATTTCTCTTTGTTGTCTGATGGCTGTGGCTAGGACTTCCAATACTATGTTGAATAGCAGTGGTGATAGTGGACATCCCTGCCGTGTTCCTGACCTTAGGGGGAAAGCTCTCAGTTTTTCCCCATTGAGAATGATATTCGCTGTAGGTTTTTCGTAGATGGCTTTTATGATATTGAGGTATGTACCCTCTATCCCTATACTCTGAAGAGTTTTGATCAAGAAAGGATGCTGTACTTTGTCAAATGCTTTTTCTGCATCTATTGAGAGGATCATATGATTCTTGTTCTTTCTTTTGTTAATATATTGTATCACATTGATTGATTTGCGGATGTTGAACCAAGCTTGCAGCCCAGGGCTGAATCCCACTTGGTCGTGGTGAATAATCCTTTTAATGTACTGTTGGATCCTATTGGCTAGTATTTTGGTGAGAATTTTTGCATCCATGTTCATCAGGGAAATTGGTCTGTAATTCTCCTTTTTGATGGGGTCTTTGTCTGGTTTTGGGATCAAGATAATGCTGGCCTCATAAAATGAGTTTGGAAGTTTCCTTCCGTTTCTATTTTTTGGAACAGTTTCAGAAGAATAGGTATTAATTCTTCTTGAAATGTTTGGTAGAATTCCCCTGGGAAGCCATCTGGCCCTGGGCGTTTGTTTTTTGGGAGATTTTTGATGACCGCTTCAATTTCCTTAGTGGTTATAGGTTTGTTCAGGTTTTCTCTTTCTTCCTGGTTCAGTTTTGGTAGTTGATACATCTCTAGGAATGCATCCGTTTCTTCCAGGTGATCTAATTTGCTGGCATAGAGTTGCTCATAATATGTTCTTATCATTGTTTGTATTTCTTTGGTGTTGGTTGTGATCTCTCCTCTTTCATTCATGATTTTGTTGATTTGGGTCATTTCTCTTTTCTTTTTGATAAGTCTGCCAGGCACCATTCTTGACTCTGGAGGAAACAAGAAAGACAAAAATCCATGCCCTCATGGAGTTTTCATTCTAGCAAGGGGAGAGAGACAATGAAAATAATAATGAAGAAGGAAAGATGGTGGCAGGTGCTGTGGAAGAAAAGCACAGAGTGGGGTGAGGGAGGGTTGGGGCGTGTGGTGTGCAACTTTCTAAAGGGTGGTCAGGGAAAGCCTCACCGAGCCAGCGACATCTGAAGGAAGTGGGGACATGAGCCGTGCAGACAGTGAGGAGGGGAGAATCCCATGCAGACGCAAAGATCAGTGGGGTGGGAACTTGCTTGGTGTATCCAGAGCCACAGTGAAGAGGCCAGGGAGGCTGGAGCAGAGTGGGGGAGGGGGGGCGGCAGGGAGGGAGCAGGTGGGTCAGAGCTCGGGGTGAATTGGAGCCAGGAATGCTGATGGAAAGATGTGGCATGTTTCTGAGCTGCAAAGCCTTGGAGGGTTTGAGCAGAATGACATGATCGGACTTACGTGGCCACAGAATCCCTTGGAGAACAGACTGAAGGAGAAGCCGGGCCAGAGGCAGGGAAACCCAGCGGGAGGCTATGGGAGAGTCGAGGTCAGAGAGATGAGGGGTGCTTGGAGGCGGTGCATAGGCAGGTTCTGGATATCGTCTGAAGGTAGGTATCGCTGACAGACCAGCTGCCGGCTGGAGAGAGCGGGCTTGGGGACAACGTAAGGAACTCAGTTTGAGCACATGACATTTGAAACGCCCAACATACATCCAGGTGGAGATGCTAATGAGGCAGCTGGATCTACGTTTCCGAGGTTTAGGGGGGAAGTCCAGACTGAAGATCTAAATTCAGTTCTGAGGGAACTTGTTAAGTGAGTGTAATTTAGGACTTGAACACCCAAGAAGGGAGAATGCCATACACAACACTGCTTTAGAATCAAGTGCCTTGGGAAGATTGCAGATCCTGTTTTGTAGGCACAGAAACGTTATATAGATCAGATAAATTAAGCTGCTAACTTGTACCCAAGATAAAAGTTGTGTGCATTTTAAAGGACAGTGCATTCTTAAGTCATGTGTAACCCATATTATTTATGTTTGCTTTTTAGTTTTACTTTAAAAATGAAACATGCGTCTTAAGTCAATAAAATTAGTGAAATTGACATTTTTAAACGCAGCTGCCTTGACTCCGAATTTCCTTTCTTAGCTTGTTTTGCCCTTCTTGTTGGTGTTTCTTCACAGATTTCAAATTTAACAATTGTACAATATAATTAGGAAACAGTTCAGGGCTTACTGGACTTAATCCCTAACTTATGAATAATAGCTGTCAAAAGATTGGGAGCTATAAGAGATATTTAAGCATTTTTATAGCTAAACATTTCATAATGTATAACCGCTAATATCCTATTTAGCATTACTTAGAAGAGCCTGAATAGTATTTACTATAGTAAGAAATTGTGGAAAATATCCATCTTGATTGATACCAGTGGTATGAAATGGGGATTTATTTATTGGTTAATGAAATTTTGTCCCTTCCTTTTAATATTTAGCCTTATGTACACTATTGGGTGGTATTTATTAAGTGTATGTGTTGTGGAGGGCATTTGACTGTATCTGGGGTTGGGCCACTTCTTCAGGCACCACCTGAAAAAGACAGAGCCTGAGTTGGTGAAAAGGTAGAACTATATTCATTCT